AGGCCAACCTCTGACTAGAAAGGCAGACTCCACAGAGTGGCTTTGGAACCAGGGGAAAGTCTTGGCAGACAAGATATTGGCTGAAGGAGTGTGAAATTTGCATTCTAACTCTTTAAATACCAGTGCGGGAAGCCCTGATGGTGTAGTCCGTACGGTTGTGATACTATCCCCAGGAGGACACCTCTCTGGTGATTCGAATCCAAAGATGGGCAATCTCCTCCCTCCCTGGATGATTGACAGCCTCTGAAAACCTGCTGTAAGGCCAGTGAAGTGAAAAATTGATTTCAATTCAATGGTAATGACCTATTTTTTTTTCTTAATTAAGTTGTGAGTTTTAATACAAGTATATGGGCAGGTTATTATTCTCTCTGGTGGTCTAGTAGCAATAAGCTGTGCTGCAATCCCAAAGGCATGTGGTTCAAACCCATTTGCTGCTCTGAGGGAAAAAGGTGGGCTATCAACTCCTATGCAATTTACTGCCTCTGAAAACCCGTAGTAGGGTCAACTATGGGTTGGTTCCAACTCCATGGTACACAACAACAGCACTGATAAACAAAGGGGGGAAAATCTAAATTGCAGAACTGTTCTAAGGATAAAATTATATTATGCAATGCACATGGAATATTTATTGCAAGGCAAGGCTTCATACATGATTTAGAATCATACACGTAAGCAAAGTCTAGTTAGTCACCACAAAGTAAGACATTTCTGTGGTAACTGACAGAGTTTTGTGAAAAAACAGTTTTGTGAGACCAAATTAGCTTCCTTTACAGAAAGAATGGTGAGAGTAAGACCTTAGAATGTTTCCTTTGAGATTGGCAAGTGAGTGCAGTTCATTCTGAGAACTGGTTTATGGTTTGGATCAATCTCTGCGCTAGGTCTCGGGTTGCACTGGGTGATCTAGCTGGGGAATGAAGAGTCAGGTGCACATGCGTGGACAATTCAAAGCAGTGCAGTCAGTGGCGAGCTGCCCTGTGTGACAGGAGCCTTACTTGTTATGACAGTTGTAAAGGGAAAGGCTAGAGACTGTGATGGTAAAATATAGATCCAGAGAACAAAGGCCTCTGTGTTTTTCTCTATCGCAGGAAGCCCTATGCTGGGAGAGTGTCATAGAAGCTAATGACCAGAGAGCAAGACCACATGCTGGGTGTCCTATAGGTGACGTGGAGGTGGCTGATGTAGGTGAGGGAGAAAGTTTCTTAGAGGAGCTTGCTGGTTCTCCTCCTAGCATCAAAAGGACCTTTTTGAGATAATAATCAAAGAGGTGATGGGTGAGGAGTACAAATGATAGGGAGGGGTGTTTTCTGCATATAAAAGTCTCCACTCAGTGCCAGAGGCTAAATGAGTGGGATGGTGGTGGTGAGTGGATGGAGTGAAGTAGATGATACTGTGGTTATGCCTGCCAGCAACTCATTGAAAGGAAAATCCTGAATTACAGAGGGCCACTGTTGTTTATCTCCATCCTAGAAAGCCAGCCTGGGGAAAGGTGAGTGACTGAGGAGGGGCGTTGGACAGTGCTTGCAAAGGGAATGATGCTTGAGTTGACCCATGCTTCCTTAAGATGTGTGTATCCACAAAAGGCATTTCCAAGAACTTCCTTACTTCTATTCCACAGTCAGCGAAGGAGAAGACTCTCAATTCGATGGATTGATAGTGTCTGCTGCAGTGAGCTCAGATGTGTTGGGGATGATAAGAATGGCACAGCACAGGACAGGGTTCAAATCTGTTGCTCACAGGGTCACACTAGGAGTTGTACTTGACTCCATGACACCTAACAACAACAACTTTGGGGAGGCGACAGTCCTTGATCCTTACACCTGTCCAAAAGGCCTTGATTGTGTCTGGTGCTTGTTGGTATGATGAAGGGTTCTTGGGACTAATGTTGCCCCTTAGATGACATAATTCATAACATTTCAGGCTGCTGAGAAGGAAGCAGCTTGAATCCATCGGCAGCAAGTGTTAAAGGGGGCTGCTATGAAATTGAACCAACTTGGCAGGAGTGGGTGGGCTAGGGGACATGTGGCAATATTTAGACACATTTTTGGTCGTCACAACCACTGTATGTGTAGGGTGTGCATGTAGGGAAGAGAGGCCACAGATGCTCTGCTAACCATCTCACAATACTCAGGTCAGGCCTAAAAACCAAAGAGTTATTTAAGCCAAAACATCAACAGAGCAGATGTTGAGAAACTCTGGTCTGGCACAATGTGAAGGCCTTTGTAGACAGAGGTGGTTTGTTGCTCGCTTACTATCTCAGTGTAGGACAGAACAGAAGGGTCATGGCTGGCTTGCCACCCCTCACTGGAGGCCAAAAATAAAAGCAGAGATTGGTGAGAATGCAAAACGTTTAGGGGTAGGAATGAGCTCAAAGGGAGCGCCGAGATACCTCCTAAGGTAGATGGAGGGGTAAGGGCAGAGTTTTTCACTTAGAGTCAACTCTTACTTATTTAAAAACCGATTTCCTTAAGCACATAATTATATGCTTATTTCCCTAAGGAACTCTTGAGGCAGAGGAGATCTGCTTAAATTACGGGGATGGAGGTTGCACACAGGGCTTTAATGGGGTTAGAGAAATTTCCTGTCTCCTGCAAAGGAATCTTGGGGGGAAGCAAAGGGAAAGGATAGAGGATGTGGGGAGGATGTATATGGGCCTGGCTGGATTGCCCCAGCAGAGAAGAGACTTGAACTTCAAGTCTCATCTCTCTCTTTGTTCCTGTAAACGTAGAATGGAGGGAAAGGGTTTAGGAAGTGACTATTCACAAGCATCCCACCCCACCTCTTCTTGATGTATACATACCTTTTGGGGAAGATGCCCTAGTTTGCATCAAGAAACAGAATTTGGATAGTAGAGAGGGGGGCAAAAGAAATAAGACAATATCTGTTTTCCTAGTATTGCATGTCCCTTTGCGGGGGATGGAAGATATAGCAATTGGAAGTTGGATGCTGATGATGGTTGCACATTATTGATGTGATTGGTTTCATTGATTTGCATCAATGAAAAATGTCAAAGTGATCAAATGTTGTGCTATCTATATTTTCACAATAAAGAGAACAAGGCCATGCTGCTGGGGGGAGACTAGATGGTGAGCAGGGGGATGAAGTTGTGGAGGGAGCTCTCAATATGTTTTCCCTACTTTCTATTTTTCATTCTTCTGCTGCAGCTTGGGTGTCTGGGATCGTGAAAGTCTTCCTTTTATTGATAAGGGTCCCTGGGGGGTACAAATAGCTAATAGTTGCTAACTAAATGGCTGGCAGTTAAAGTCTACCCAGAAGTGCCTTGGAAGAAAGGTCTAGTTAAGCCCTTTCTGAAAATCCAGTCATGGAAAGCCCTCTGGAGCACAGTTCTACTCATACATGTAGGGTTGCTATGCATCAGAGTGACTTGACCTGGGTGTTTTTTTATTTTTTTTGGGGGGGGGTTGTATGGTGGAGAGGAGGAGACATACTCCCATGGTAGGACCAGGACAAAAGAGTAAAGTATTTGGAGATGACACAGAGGAAACTTGCTGCTGTCCAGTTGATTCTGACTCATAGAGACCCCACAGGACAGAGCAGAACTGTCCCATAGGATTGCCAAGGTCATAACTCTTTAAATAAAGCAGACTGAGGAGTGGGTTGGTGGGTTCAGACCACCAACCGTTTGGCTAGCAGCCCCGCACTTTAATGACTACACCTTTAAAGCCTTTTTCTTGGCCCTCGATGGGCTGATGTTACCTTTTATACGAATTGGATGAGGGTGAGTTGGGTGAACAGTAGAGGGAGAAAAGAGTGAGCACTGGGTAGATTAGATCTGGTTCTGGTTCAGGCTGGAGGGGCTGGGGTCCACAGTAGAGGCCCTAGCACCTCTGTCCTCTCGGTCTCCACTGCCCCTGAGTACAAGTTTGTCACAGTGCCCATTCTCGTGGATGGCTTCCATCTGCGCCTGTCTCATCTAGGAGACTGTGCTCTGGAGAGCAGAACTCATGTGCCATTGAGCTGGGTGGCCTCTGCTCCTAGCAGAACGTGGCACAGAGGCACTGTACATACTTCATGATGAAGTTCTACCTTGTCATAGCAGAGGTGTGGACAAGAATGCAGGCAGAAGTTACAGCAAAAAGGGTCCATTTGACAGGTATTACCCCACGCCTTGAGTTTGGTATTGATGGTAGGATGAGGTATATCAGGGCAGAAGCAAAGGAAACATCTGAGAAATTCATTGCCACAAAGCTTCTCCATTAATTAGCAAATAACCACCCTGACTGGCTCACTTCTAGCATTCCCTGACTCGAGGTTGCGTGGGGCAGTCTAACAGTAGTGGTAAATGTAATGGGTTGGTGGTGGTTCCAGTTGAGCCAAAGAGTACCCGAGGCTACTGAGAGAGGTCTAGCCTCTTTGAGAAATGGAGATAAAGGCTTTGTGCGAGCACGGAATCCAGGAATAAGATACAGAAGACTGTGAGTCTAGATTAAGATATTATGCCAACAGGCGTACTCTTGGTCTTAGAGAGCCCAAGATGCTTGTGCTGCTGGGGATTTACGTTCTTTCATAGCTTCCCCAAAACTACAATCAAATACCAGTGAACAGATAAATCAGTATATAGTTTCAGCATTTTAAAGAGTTTGAAGACAAGTGTTGTAATCTTGGCCCATCCATCCACTTTCTATGACCATGAGGGGCTCATTATTTGATTTTTCTGAGCTTTCACCTCCTTAGAGGGACAAGAATGGACAGCTTATCTGTCTTATAGGCTATGGTGAAGAACAAATCAGTTGATGTCCAAGAGTGCTCTGTAAACCATCAAGTGCTATGCAGATAGCAATCTGTTTATTTAAGTAAGCAGAGGGATCATCCCATCACTTTACTGAGGCCTTAGCCATTCCTTCAACCAGGACCTCACAGCAGGAGATTGCTACTTCAGTCTTTGGAGCCCACTGGGAGCTCCAGGGTGGAATACTTAAGTCTGTTTCTGTTTCTCTGGCTCCATCTGTGACACAGGTCAGGCAGAAGGGTGCTGAGGCTGCTCATTTAGTTCGCTGGTAGAACTGGAAGACGGCTTTCTCCTGCTCATGGGTCTCGATGGAACCGGGTCGAATGCGTCGGATTTCGGCGATGGCATCTCCTGCAGCCAGGCCGCGCTCCTTCACCAGGTAACAGGCCAGCATCGTACCGGTACGGCCAAAGCCCAGGGCACAGTGCACCGCCACTGCCTGTGGAGATGGAGCCTGATGGGGTGAGGCCAAGTCCCTCTACAACATCCTCCTGCCCTCACTTGGGTCTGCCTCTTCTCCACAGCTGATTATTCTGGATTAACCCTCAAGGGGCAAAAAGTGACAGCAGAGTTAGAGAAGGTTTCCCCAGTACCCGAGTAGTTTGGAAGCTACTAGTCATTTCAGGTGTGGCCGGTTCAAGAGTTGGGCTCCTGATCTGTCTCCCCATAATCTTCTACCTATCTTGGTCAATAGAGAAGCTATTAGTCATATATGCCTACTGAGGACTTGAAATATGACCAGCCCAAATTAAGATGTGATGTAAAAGGCACGCCTGATTGTCAAGATACAGAACAAAAAAGGGATAAATACTTTTCATCAAGGATTTATTCTATTATGATTATTTAAAATGATATTTGTACTATTGGGGTATTATCAAGATTAATTTTACCTGCTATTTAATTTTTATAATGTATGAGGCTAGAAAAAGAAAAATGACATCTGGCTCCATTGTATTTGATTGCAAAGTGCTCCTCCGCAGTGCGCTAAATAACCTCCCTTTGACTTCAACTTTTGTTTTTCTATCTGCCCATCTTTTGCTCCTTCCTAATTTACCAAGTTTTCAGTTCCACAGCTACTCACCTTTTTTATAACCTAATTCACACTTCTCGTCTCTGACTCCTCCTACTACTCTGCCCTATCAAGTTGTGGTATGGAAGTGGCCTCTGCCCTTGTGAAGGTTCTGGTGTCCGCTACCCCTACCCTCTCCCCTAGTCTCTATGGAGCCCAGTTACCTGACCTCAGCACCCACACTCCGTCTGAGACCCTCGTCCCCTCCTGGGGACCTCCCTTCCTCTTCCCCCTCCCGAGCCTTCCCTCCCCACGTCGTCGACTCAGCCCTGCTGACCTCGCCCCGGGCGTTGGCCTCGTCCACGATCTTCACAAAACGGTCGATCTGGTCAGGGGCAGGAGGGCAGAAGTCTGGGATACGCAGTCGGTGCACAGTGAGGCCAGGGCAGGTGTCGCTGTGAGGGGGTCCGCGCTCCGTCAGGGACACCAAGTGCCGCACACCCTGGTCCCATAGGTACTGGTAGTGGGCGGGGAGCCGCGGCAGCGCCAGCCCCGCCAGCCGGTCCGGCAGCACCCACTTGAAATTGGGGGGCTCCACGCCCATCGCTGGGGGAGAGAAGGGTACAGCGGGGTCTTCTTGGCCGGCCCTGTTCTGCCCCGCCCACTCCCCACCTCTGCGGTCGCCGATCGATAACCAGCTACCTACCTGACCCTTGACTCTCCTGGGCCACGTGGTACCTTGACACCACTCTGGGTCACGTCAAGCTCCCCTCGGGGGATTGGCTGAGCTCTCCGGGAGGCGGGGCTAGAACGCCGAACCAAGGCTTTGAATATCCTAGAATGGCGCGGAGATCCGGCCCAGGCTCCGTAAAACACTAGTTGATTGGCTAGATCGTCAGTAATAGGCGGGACTACAGCAGCAGTGCTATGAGATTGACACTGCTCCAGTCTTTAAGCTTCCTAGCAATCCTGTAGGACAGAGTACTGCACCATAGGATTTTCCAAGCTGTAAATCTTTACAGAGATTGATGGTACTGTTTAAGCAGCTAGGAAGGAAAACTCAGGACAAATTAAAATAGTTTTCTGTGGCTGAGGTAATACCTCATTGGACTCTGCTGCTCCCTGGCGGTAGGTTTGAGTTACTGCACCACTGACCCTTTGACCCTGCGTCCCTGAGGGCTTGGCAGCCTTTTTCTTTCTTCACAGTAGATGTCCAAGGACTTAAGAGATGATAAATCTACTTCCGCTTGAGGGGAGAAACCGCCTTGATTGCGCAGTGACTTTTTGAACTCTTTCACTAAAGAGGAATCATTACTTCACAGGCAGCCATTTACCAGCAGCTGGGATTGCCATCTAGCTCCCCGAAATTGTAATAATAATTAATAATAATAATAATAATAATAATAATAACAACAACAACAAATCATTATTGGTGGAAGATTCATCAAAAACCTGCGTTATGCAGATGACACAACCCTGCTTGCTGAAATTGAGGAGGACCTGAAGCGCTTGTTGCAGAAGGTCAAAGATGGTAGCCTTCCTTATGGATTGAAGCTCAACATCAAGAGCAAACTGGGCCGATTGGCAGCATCAGTATGGATGGTGAAGAAATTGCGATAGTTAACAGTTCTAGTTTGCTTGGCTTCATAGTCAACACTCTTGGTGCCAGGAGCCAGGAAATCAAGAAACGAATTGCAGTGGGAAAGTCAGCTGTGAGGGACCTCTCCAGATTACTGAAGAGCAATGACGTCATGCTGAAGACTAAGGTGCGCCTGATATAGGCCATCATCTTCCCAATTGTATTCTATGCATCAGAGAGTTGGACAGTGACTAGGGATGATAGAAAGAGAATTGATGCCTTTGAGTTGTGGTGCTGGAGAAGAGAGTTGAATATACTAGGAGGACAAACAGGTTTGTCCTGGAGAGGGTGAAGCCAGGCTGCTCCTTGGAGTCAAGGATTCTGAAGCTTTGTCTGACATACTTTGGGCATGTGACAAGGAGGGACATCATGTTTGGTAGAGTGGAGGGACAGTGCACAAGAAGAAGACTCTTGATGAGATGGATCGATTCAGTGGGAGTAGGTATGCTGGAAACAATGAGATTGGCACAGGATAGAGCAGGGTTTAGGGCTCTTGTACATAGGGCTGCTTTGAGTCAGTCGCAAGTGACTTGACAGCACATAACAACACAACAACAACAACATTGAGCTCTTAACTATATACAAGACATTCTTTTTTAAGCATTTTATCTGTGTTAACTCATTTTATGGCCTTAAAGATCTGATGAAGTTGTTGTTGTAAGATGGCATCAAGTTGGGAGTATGACTTTTAGCAACCCTATGAGCAATCCATGCCAATCTCACAATCCTGACAGACTCAAGCCTATTGCTGCTGTTCATGTGTCAATACACCTGGTTGAGAGTCTTCCTCTTCTTTGCCATCCCTCCACCTTCCCAAGCATGATGCCCCTCTCCAAGGAATAACCTCTTCTAGCAAAAGGCCCAAAGTATATGAGATGAAGCTTCACCATCCTTGCCTCCGAGGAACACTCTGGCTGCACCTTTTCAAAGACATATCTGTGCTTTCGGCAGTCCATGGAGTACTCAGTACTATTCTTCAATACCATACTTCAAAGGCATCAATTCTTCTTCTGTCATCTCTATTCACTGTCCAGGTGTCAAGTGCATAGCAAGGTGCACCTCAATTTTATGTATCGGAAAAGCAAGTTTAGGAAAAAAAAATTGAAAACATTCATTGATATGAGGCTTTACAACTACAACCCAGTTTGATTCCTAAAGCTACTCAGATCTTCCTTTTTCTTAACATGCTGTTGTTATGTGCCATCAAGTAATTTGTGACTCATAGTGACCCTATGCACAACAGTTTTGAATGCTGCTCTATATTGAGCCAACCTCACTGACTCTGACACACCAACCCCCATTACCCCAGCCACTGAGTCAATCCCTCTTTATCGAGGGTCTTCCTCTCTGGCGTTGTCCCTTCACCCTTTCAAGCATGATGTCCCTCTGCAAGGTCTGGTCCCTCCTTGCTACATGCCCCCAGTATGTCAGATGGAGCTTCAGAGTCTTTGCCTCTAAGGAACAACCTGGTTTCACCCTCTCCAGGACTAACCTGTTTGTTCTCCTAGAAGTCCATGGTACATTCAATACTCTTTTCCAGCACCACAGCTCAAAGTCATCAATTTTCCTTCTATCCTCCCTAGTCATTGTTCAGGTCTCTGATGCATAACAAGTAATTGTGAAGATCATGGCCTTGATCAGGCTAATCTCTAGACTGACATCATTGCTCTTCAGTACTCTGGCCCTGACAGCAAATTTTCCCAGTGTAATTCATCTTTTGATTTCCTGGCTGTTGGTACCAAGAGTGTTGCCGTATTTATGTTCCTGAATTTCGAAACCTGGGTTAAACATTTTTCCTCCATAATTTTTCTTCATATTTCATGTTTATGATCTTTCTAGATCATCTTCCAACAGATAATTTATAATTTGCCAGTTTATTCTTTTGAAGAGGGGATCTAGATTCAGTGCAGTATCTACCTATCTTGTAGGTGATCTGACCCCTTGTTGTTGTTAAGTGTCGCCAATGTTGAGTACTACTCATAGCAACCCTATGAACCACCAACCTGAACCCTGCCCCATCCTGTGACATCCTCAACATCTCTGAGACACTCAAGCCCATTGCTGAAATCGCCTTGTCAATCCATCTCGTTGGAGGGTCTTCCTCTTCTTCGCTTCGCTGACCCCTCATCTTTCCAAGTATGATGTCCCTCTCCAAGAGATAGCCTTACCTCACTCACTCAAGTCAAAAGTATGAAAGAGGAAGCTGTACCATCTCTGACTCCTTACAGGACCCCAATTCCCAGCCAATGTGTGTCATATGGAGCTATGACCATCTTGTCAGTGGAGGCTTTGGTGTTGATCTGACATATTTCAACAGACTCAGAAGGAACAAAAAGAAAGGCCTGGTCATCTGCCCCTGAGTTTTAGCCATTGAAAACCCAATGTATCACAATGCTTACCGGAATGGCACCGGATGGGCGTTCATTCTGTTTTACATGGAACACATAGATAACGAGTTAATGTGGCCATGGATACACAGTATCGGAGGTGCGAAACCAAGATCTGTCCAGCTCTGAGACCAGGCCACCTTGCCACATTGATGGATTTCTCTCCCTTTGCTATTCGCCCTCTCCGTTCCGCAGCACACGCATGTGAACGTTTATACCGCTGACTGAGAAGATGACCTTCTGGAACCTGCACTTCCCATAACCCAACCCCGAGGCTCTAAATCACTGGCTCTGTTTCCTCTCCTCAGGCTACTGGAGCCACTGGATTTACCCTCTTCTTCCCCTTTCACACAGTCACAGCCCAATTAAGCCCTTCCTGTTTCCACTCCATTTCCCACTTGTCCCTAATCAGTCTCCCCTGACGGCAAGCATTTCCTTTCTTTCCCTCCTTCCCAGTTGTGGCTTCCAGGCTGGGATGGGAAACAAACCCTTTCTCACATTGTTCCCCAGGGTTTCTGTGCACACTGCCCATGACTGTGTGATTTCTAGCACTCATTCCATTCATTCCTTTTCTTTCCCCACTTACTTTTCTTTGTTCCCTTCTTAAGGAAAACCCATGAATCTCTTTGTTCCTCCCCACCGTCTGCTGCCCCTGGCCTCCTTGCTTCTTTGACACCCAACTGAACATCTATCTCCTACAGAGGGAGGCAAGTTCTCTCACCTGCCTTGCTTCTTCTCTACAATGGTGATGGTGTGTTCTCTAGTGTATGGATTTCTTCTGGGATAGAAGCACATCTGTAATCCCTTGGAGGCTCCCCAGCTAGCTTCCTTCTGAGAAGGTCACTTGGCTCTTTCCCCCCACCCCCCTTCTCTTGTCTCTCCCTTCCAACAGCTGCCTTAGATAGAGCCCAGAGCCTGAAGCTCGACTGTGTCCCAGTGTCCAGGGCGAAATTCAAATTTCTTGACTTGAACCCAGGGAGGCTCAAAGTATAAGGAAAACCTTTCCTCTGATGGTTTTCTAAACTAACACCCAGCATACTAATAATATGACACACAGGCTATCTTTCCCCTTTTTCTCTGTAAAGGGTTATTTGTTCCTCCCATCTCACCTTGTATAAATATGCATTTGCAGAATGGCAGTTATTGTATTTCCTTGGGCTTACTTGTTTGCCTAGGAACAGAGGCCATGGCTTTCTCTCTCTGAATTCCATGCATTCCAGTCAATATGGAGTCAAGAGCCCTGGTGGGGCAGTAGGTAGGCACTCAGCTGCTAACTGGGAGATTGGCAATTTGAATCCACCCAGCAACTCTGGGGGAGAAAAGACCTGGCAATCTGTTTCCTCCCGTAAAGATTACAGCCTAGGAAACCCTGTGAGGTCATTCTACTCTGTCATATGGGGTTGCTGCGAGTCAGAGTCAGCCCAGTGGCACATGGTTACTATAACGCGGTCAAATACACGATGGTAAGAAATGTTAAAGGAACAAAAGAATTTTAAAAAAGAAGTGGAATAATGTGCGGACAAGGGCTGCTGTACTTTTATGGAATGTCTGTTGAGTCACTAGAACTGTGACAGTGTG